CAAACGTCGTGGCAGTTCCAGATTTGGATGTTTAAAATCACTACAGCTGGACAACCATGATATTTATTTTTTGGCTTATTCTCATGTCGTAATATCGCATCTGTGCATAGCGGGTGTGTATGTATATGCGTAAGGTTCATTCACACCTTACAATATTTTATATTTGTTGGTTGGTTAACGCCGCACTCAGCAATATTCCATCCTTATGGCGGCGGTCTGTAAATCATCGAGTCTGGACCAGACAATCCAGTGATCAACAGCATGAGCATCGATCTACGCAACTTGGATACAATGACGTGTCAACCAAGTCAGCGAGCCTGACCACCCGATCCCATTAGTCGCCTCTTACGACAAGCAAGGGTTACTAGAGACCAATTCTAACCCGGACCTTCACGGGTGTATAGCTACAATGTGTGAAGCCCACTTCTGATGTCTCTGCTATTTATTGCAGGAATGTTGCTTGAAAGCGGTGTATTTTTAGCGTCGAGCTACTTACAATTAACTCTCATGAACTGCGCTATGCACGCCCATATTTCAAGTGTTCTCAACTAGGAGGTATCTTTAGCCTTTGAACAATAGAGGTTACATTCCTTACTCCGCGGAGCTATCGTAGCGCACAGTAAGACCGAAACACTGACAGACATACGACTCGAAAATCCCAGTTTGGGGAAACTTAGCCGTGGCGTCCAGTCGATGGCCTAATTTTTTAAGTGTCCGCACGTCAGACTGTAGACCCATGGGTACAACGTGTGAAGCCGATTCTGGTGTCCCCTGCCGTGATATTACTGGAATATTGCTAAAAGCGACGTAAAACCATACTCACTCACTTACCCAGTCGATTACAGGTCGTGTGACAATGTAATGTCGGAGAATACTACATGTAATTGTTGAAGTGTACTCACTACTGGTCAGAGAAGTTGTTCTTGATTACCATAGCTTGGGTGCGTAACTTTCTGTGTGTGATCAAGTTGAAATCTGGAGTTTTAAACGGACCAGACGACCACAAACCGTAATGTAGACAGTACCAGGAACTCAATCTCATTATAACAGATAACTTAAAAAGAACGCAATCTTTGGTACTATCCGTACTCGCATAGTTCCACGCAGGTTAGTGTGACATCTGTTTGTGACAAAAAGCCATGTTTGTTTGTATATTTTTTGTAGCAGTAGCACTCATAACCCTGCGGTGAACTTGGCTACCCAATACAACATGACGCATACTCAACCTACCCGTCCTCCCAAGGATATCATTGAATTTGGCTACCCCATACAAGATGACGTGAGACTCAATCTACTCATCGTCCCAGGGAGATCACTGATCTTGGGTACCCCATACAAGATGACGTGAGACTCAATCGACTCATCGTCCTAAGGATATCACTAAACTTGGCTACCCCATACAAGATGACGTGAGACTCAATCTACCCATCCTCCAAAGGAGATCGCTGAACTTGGCTACCCCATACAAGATGACGTGAGACTCAATCTACCCATCGTCCCAAGGAGATCACTGAACTTGGCTACCCCATACAAGATGATGTGAGTGTGAGACTCAATCTACTCATCGTCCCAGCCGGGTCGCTGATCTTGGCCACCCCATACAAGATGACGTGAGACTCAATCTTCTCATCGTCCCAGGGAGATCACTGATCTTGGCTACCCCATACAAGATGACGTGAGACTCAATCTACTCATCGTCCCAAGGATATCACTGAACTTGGCTACCCCATACAAGATGACGTGAGACTCAATCTACCCATCGTCCCAAGGATATCACTGAACTTGGCTACCCCATACAAGATGACGTGAGACTCAATCTACTCATCGTCCCAGGGAGATCACTGATCTTGGCTACCCCATACAAGATGACGTGAGACTCAATCTACTCATCGTCCCAAGGAGATCACTGAACTTGGCTACCCCATACAAGATGATGTGAGACTCAATCTACCCATCCTCCCAAGGAGATCGCTGAACTTGGCTACCCCATACAAGATGACGTGAGACTCAATCTACCCATCCTCCAAAGGAGATCGCTGAACTTGGCTACCCCATACAAGATGGCATGAGACTCAATCTACCCATTGTCCCAAGGAGATCACTGAACTTGGCTACCCCATACAAGATGATGTGAGACTCAATCTACTCATCGTCCCAGCCAGGTCGCTGATCTTGGCTACCCCATACAAGATGATGTGAGACTCAATCTACTCATCGTCCCAGCCAGATCGCTGATCTTGGATACCCCATACAAGATGATGTGAGACTCAATCTACTCATCGTCCCAGCCAGATCGCTGATCTTGGCTACCCCATACAAGATGATGTGAGACTCAATCTACTCATCGTCCCAGCCAGATCGCTGATCTTGGATACCCCATACAAGATGATGTGAGACTCAATCTACTCATCGTCCCAGCCAGGTCGCTGATCTTGGCTACCCCATACAACATGACATTCAATGGCCCATCTAACTCCATCGTTGGAACCAGACTACAGCATTCATGGCGTATAAGGGACACATTCTACCATAACAGTCTAGTGTTCCAGCCCCACCCTCAGTAATTCCCCTTATAAGGGAATATTAGGAATAAACAACAAGCAAGTGTTGATGACTGAACACAGTTTGTTTATTACACACCTAGAGTGACCACATTGACCTATCATGCAACCAGAACACTGGACACCTCAGAAATAAGTTAAAGACATATCAATCATTCTTAATGAAGACAACAACTAAAACATAAGTTAACATGTAAAATGCCAGATGTAGTGATTCTATCCGTTGGAATGATGTATTTTACAAGAAGCAAGCTACACGTATGAACAGCCTTCAGTAAAATGCCAGTAAAAGAAGCTAATCTTTAACTTCAACAATTTAACAAATAGCTAGCACATTAATATTTTTTACATAATATTTCAGAAAATATCTTTTTAAGCCATTGAAATTATGTCAGGCTGTGATTGGAAATATAGAGATTTGCACAATAACCTTTTTGTGAATTTTATACCTTTTTTATAAATTTAAGATTATATTTTGTTGTTAATCACTGATTTGAGCACTATTGGGAAAAGCATATCACTCAAGATTTGACTGATATTTCAGATACAAAGCAGGGTGGCACCTATGCAGAGAAACATGGATTTCAGATAGTAAGCGATGACTTTTCATTTTGCAATGGAAATAGAAACACAATGGCACAAGCGTCACCCTCTTACATCCAGCAGGGAAGCAAAATAAGGTTTCTGAGAAACAATCATCATAACCATGGCAACATAATCATAACACATGTTTTTTATCAACAGAAAAATCATGAAAATGTTGTGATAAATTATAAGCACTGATGTTTTAACTTTGAGAAAACTAAGATTCTTAATGACCTTTTCATACTAAAATATGAGAACAGTTGAGTGTATCTATAAGATGCATAAATGATCCTTTCTCATATGAAACATGTATGTTGAAAACCTGCTACTCACATATAAACAATTAGTCAGAGGTATTATGCACTTACAAACCATCTGATGGTCATAGTTCATACAGATTAATTAGTTTCTGATAAACAAATAAATATTTCTTTCTCAGCATAGCTTCAACTGCCTTTGAAAACATGACAATCAAACCAAACACAGAAGTGTACAGCACTTCATAATACGAAACATTTCTGGGTAACTTATTAGTAGTTTCAATTATTTCTGAATGTGTTTGACATTATTCTTTGAAAGATAGTCTGTAAATATACAACAAATAAATACATAAATACAACAGTGTATTATGAAACACCCTAGGAATAATATAGAATTAATATTTTATGGATAATATCAGAGTTTGTAAACAACTACAGTTTTCAAAACATTCACTGTTCCTCATTCTATTTTTTAGGTTGTTTCTGTGTAAAAAAAAATCAACAAATTCATAAAAAAGCAATAACATAACACATCAAGTATTGTTTTCTAAATTTCAATACAAACTGAAATCATTCCCTTTGGGTTAAACTACTGTTAGATTATCCATCTAAACTAAATCAGCACTTTAGGCCACAGCTTCAAGATACGGTAACATATCTAGACATTAATAAATAGTTAAATATATATTTATATATTATATTATAATACATCAAACCGCACATTACTGTGCGGTGTATACAACACACTCATTGTCTCAACATTCAACAAAATCTGTTACTCATTCATTCATCTCATTGATTTTGCCTCCATTATAATTGCTCCCTCTCAAGGAAAATGGAAACGTATATAGCGATTCTGATTAATGACATCTTTCATATCTCACACGCAATATAGATCTAACATATTTGGATGAACAGAATACATCAACAATAAATACCGTGAATGATTTACGATTTGAAAACCTTGTGTTGCCTGAAGCTGCCTGATTGAATGCAGACCAGATTATGAAGGTAGTTGTGTGGAGAGTATAACACAAAATATACATTTAGGTTTTGGACAAAACAAATCAACTTGTGTGTATGGTACGGAGTGTGAATGATCATATACCATCATTTTGACTGACTGACTGAGTTTGGTTTTACGCCGCTTTTAGCAATATTCCAGCAACATCACGGCGGGGGACACCAGAAATGGGCTTCACACATTGTACCCATGTGGGGATTCGAACCCGGGGCTTCAGCGTGACGAGCCAACGCTTTAACCATTAGGCTACCCCACCGCCCCCCAGTGTACCCACACATTTCTTCTATACAAAACCTAACTGTAGCATTCTAGCTGTTTTCAAATGTCGTGGTCACTTGCAATTCTGAATAGTGAGTCAGTTGGTTGCACAAATCTTAACAAGCCAAGCACTCGTTTTGTAAGGATGAAAGTTCATTGTTTTCTTGTAATAAGATCCTTTACCCAACTGTATATGAATATTTCATATCACAGAATAAGGTCACCATGCAAGGTCATGAACCTCTACTGAAGGTCGTGACCTTACCATACAAAGTTCAAGGCCATGCTGATCACTGTCAAGGTCGGTTTGTCCTTTGAGACTGAGAAGATGGCCATAGTTATCACTTTCAGCAATGGAGTCTCGTAGATCACATCAGGTCATAGTTATCACATCATAGGTGGTGGCACCAACTGCTCTGTCTCGTGCTGTTGTCACGAAACATGAACTTGTCAGCAGCCATGTTTGTGAAATCAGGATTTGCAAGGCCATATCAAATGTAATGTCTAAGAGCTAATACTACCGTCTTTTCATATCTACAGCATAATATCCACTCCCTTTTGTCGCCTGCATCTAAGCTTGCACATCCTTCCCTGGGTCTTTTCTGCCGCCTGTACAAGAACACCATCATCCACAGACACAGGTCAATCGCTACTAAATGCATATAGCCAAGGATAAAGTCAAATGTCAGCAAACACATAAATCAAATTTTGGCAATTTACAAACTGTCTGGGTGAATCCTATCCATCGGAGCATCTTGAAGGCACGTCTGTAAACGTACAAGAAATGCCATTTTCTGCGGAGATGTGAACATAGTCATCTACAGGGCTGAATGACTGTCAGCACACAAGCAAAACCAGATCCAACTTCTCTCTTCGTGCACCCACAACACTACTCAGCGAGTCAAATATAGCTGCTCTTGTCACAGTTAACATAAAATGCAAATATTCAATGATCATAGCACCTGCTGCTGTAGTTAGTCCTTGAGGAATGATGCACTCCTCATTGTGTCAGAGGTGAGAATCAGACCCCAGCCTCTTTCTCCACGCTATTTGACATCCTGGACATGGCCTGACTAGTAGGTAGAGATTCCTCGGGCCTCGGAGTGGACAGGTTCAGAGGCTGAGTGTGGTCATTCCTGCAACACAAGATAACATTGAACTGAACATACTGTCGTAATTGAGTGGACCAGGGTTCACGCCTTGACTTTGTCAACCTACATCAGAAAGTAAACTCACTAAGTAGCCACATAATGACCCTCATCCTCCATGACAAACATTAACATGCAAGCAAAATTAATATCAGTGGGTGAGTGGGTGAGTTTTATGCCGCTTTTAGCAACATTCCACGGGGATACCAGAAATGGGTTTCACACATTGTACCCATGTCGAGAATCAAACCAAGATATTCGGCGTACATTTTCTAGGAGGGCCAGTAACCCTTACAAACTCTACCCCACCTGTCTAGTAACTTTGTTTTTACTTTACTGTTTGAACATGGAATTCCATACAAAAGTATGCTCTAAATAAATTTTGTTGATAACTATGTTCTCCCTATTGGCTACATAATATTGTTTACTAGATTTTGTCTGAATATCCTCTAATCACAAGTGTCATTGTAGCATTCCTACTGCACTTGCTAACAATGATTAACAATTTGTACTCCTGTTAAGAGGAGTAGAACAAAGCGATCTTAGTGTTAAGGTGATCGTAATACCGTCACTTTAACATAAACTTATGACAGTCATAGAGCTGAGGTTGTTTCCTACAATGGCACACAGTAACGTTTGCTGTGAGAGTAAGGCACTGGACTCCCTGCCAAACGTTTTACTTTTGACATTCACAGGTTTCCTCTAAAACTGAAGTGGATGCCTACCGTTTGTCTGTGGTTTGTGCTGCACTTTTGCTGCCATAGGGCTGAGTGAACTGCTGCATGTTGGCAAGATGTTGGTTGAGGGGGCCTGGGGGGAAGCTAACACCCCTCATCTGGGGCAGATCTCGATTTAACATGGACTGGTAGAGAGCTGAGGAGTAGTTCTGGGAGGCGAGGAGAGCTGCTGTCACTTGAGCCTGGGAAGTTGTGGGCGGAAGCAGCACTGTCCCATTGGTGGCAGGTGTGCTGGGCTTCTGCTTACTGTCCTGAACACCATTTTCCTTGGCTATTTTCTGCAAATTCTCCATACTATCAAACTTCCTCATCAACTTGTCCTTCAGATGAGACACTGCTGTGGCATGGAACTGCTCCTTAGATCCAGCTTCTGCAGCCACTTTGGGTTTGGCCTCCAATGAGACTCCATTCACTGGACATTGACCTTGAATGCCGCTATACATCATATTAGGGCTGTCTGTCATGGAGGAAGACCCTGCCTGCTGCATCATGGGATAGGCATGGTTCCAGGGAATTGTGGGTATTGTTGGCCGTGTAAGCTGTGGCTGAACAACCTGAGTTGGGGCTTTGAGGTGAGCAAGAAGGTTAGGGTGAGCTTCTCTCGCAGATCTTTTGGATTTTTCATCTTGTTCTTCTTTCACACAAGCATCTCTGATAACTGCAGCAATCTCTGAGTCCTCTGGGGTGGGGGAGGAGTCTAGAGTCATGGAATTATCATAGTCTTCATTACTGGAATGTACAGTATGTTTTCTCATCTTGTCAAACTTCTTGTGGAAGATCTCCGGAGTGGCTTCATCCTCTGACTTGATGTCGATGTCCAGCCTCTCTGATGACCCAGAGAGAGAGGCAGTGGTCACTGTGGCAGATGCTTCTTTGGGAGAACTTCTCTTCTCTGCCCCGAAAGCCTCGATTCCTGCCTTTCTGAGTACTGGCATGTCAACGTCCGAGGACTTCCCACCCATTTGATCATCTCGGGGGCTGATACGGAGAAGGACGGGAGGGGGTGGGGAGATGCCAATCACAGAGCTGGGTGGGGGGTAGAGGCCGTGTCGGGTGGCAGCATCATACATGGCCTGCTCCTGAACCATTCTCTGCAAGACAGGGAAAACAATGCTCAATATATAAAGTGCATCATTTATTAATCTGATCTCTGATTGATTTCAAACAAGCTGTCTTACTCTTACTAACATTCATCATAAAACAGTAAGGTGTTTTGTCACGGTACAGTGACTAAACATTGTTTTATTCTGGACTTCACAATAATCAAGCCATACAAAGGTGGCCTGGATACTGTAAGCCAATGGATGACAACATAAGCAATTATTCAGGCTAATGGAGCACATTAAACTACCCAATACACAGTTTTGTCAGATCGAAAAGCAAGCATGTGGTGCTGCAGACTTACTTTGCCTTAATCTGACCACAGACATCTGCCTGAGTACAGCATACAATACATCGTGCTTAAGGCTTACAATATTGAATGTCCAGACTTTTTACCATTTTTCATACATATACATATATACAAAATATCCCACCTTGAGTTTAGCCATTTCTTGACCATGAGCTCTTTTCTCAGCATCATGAAGGAGAGTTTCTGGGTTGACACTGAGATAAGATGGATGGCGGTCAACCAGCAAGGATTTCTTTCTGGCATGAAGACCGTAGGAAGAGCTGATGCTGCCTCGCCTCATCTCGGGGGACAGGTACTGAGAATCGGCTGACATCTGATCTTTGTCAGGGAACTGCTTGAGAGAGGACACGCGAGATGCTCGGCCTTCGCTATTGATATGAAAACTGTAGCAGCGAGGGCGCATGTTAGGATAGTCATCCGTGCCAAATGACCCTGACCTTGACCTTGGACGGGGTGAATTGGGTGAAGACCCAAATGCTATGAGTCCTTCTGGGTTGAGAAGAGGACTGGCACGAGAACTGCAATGGCTGGAATCTGCAGTGGATATTGGCACAAACTCGCGGTTGCTGTTCAAATATGGATAATTCTCCTCTGGAATTGGACTACTGGCCGCACTGCTTGATATAGAAGGTGGCATGCTGTCTCCTCTGAAAGTTGCACGCTTTTCCAGACGATCACTCAGTTTGTTCACCATTTTGTTAATGTACTCTCTGTCCAAAGTATATCTTCTCCTGTTTCCTTCCTCAATAGTATGCAGACGAGGTCGTGTGAGCGTATCACGATCTAATGTATTGCACCGGCGTCGAGGTTGATCAGCAACCATTCCATAGAAACCACTCATTTCCTCGCGGTAGAATGTTCCATATGGGGTTCTCAGTACCACCTGTTGGTGAGCTGCTGCTTCAAATGGTAGTCGTTGACTAGGCACGCCGTTGCTGTCAATAGAGGCGGAGTCAGCGCTGTTGAATCCCGGAGGTCACAGTCATGTTAGAGGATGCCTCTGAGAGGGTGGGCGACACAGAACGGACAGATCTAAAAGTGAAATAACACAATGAATATGCATGAAAGATGTCTACCCTTTGGGAACCAGCAACTTCAAATTCTTTCTGTGGCGGACGACTGGGATGTTACAATGTTAAACCTGGGATGTTAAAATTTTATTCATCACATTAAGCATGCCAAATGAATAATTTAGCCAATATTTCTAAAACATATTTTTCATTCACAAAAGATTCCATTGCCCTGCAAACAAACTGTTGGTGCCTGATAACAAAGGCATTGAAAGTTACCAGATTGTATTATCACTTCCTTTTAAGAAGATGGAGCTGTAATATCTACACAATTTATTTCTACATTTATTGACACTTGACACTGTTATTGTTTCGTACCGTATACTTTGAGCATCTTGAAAGTCCATCTCCATCTCTTCAGCACTGTTACGTTTTTCTTGAGCATTTCGGCTGCCATTTTGACCAGCTGAAATGAGAAAAGTAAAAGTGTCAAGAAAGACATACACAGAAACGATGATCCACCCATGAAAGAATAAGAACCAATTGTGATGTTTACTGATCATGAAGATTAGGAGGGTGCTTTGGATTATGAGACTGGCGACTGGAGTGAGTGAGTGAGTTTAGTTTTACGCCACACTCAGCAATATTCCAGCTATATGGCAGCGGTCTGCAAATAATCGAGACAATCCAGTGATTAACAGCATGAGCATCGACCTGCGCAATTGGGAACCGATGACACGTGTCAACCAAGCCAGCGAGCCTGATCACCCGATCCTGTTAGTCGCCTCTTACGACAAGCATGAGTTACTGAAGGTTCATTCTAACTCGGACCTTCACGGGTAGCTGGAACTGAGCTTAGATTGAAATTCATTTCTATGATAACCACCACTGGTGGTCTATGAGGATCTGTGCCCACACACAACTAGTATCCAATGATGCTCAATTCGGCCTCATCGGAAACTCAGGCTGGTTGGGTAAGACAAGGTTGTTTCATGTGAAAGCATACTGTACATATTTTGTTGCTTGGGACTTGATAAAGAGTGGCACATACCTATGGATTTCTCTGAGTGCAATGTGTTGAGTGTGCGGAGGTCTGTGGTTTTCATGAGCAGTTTAGCGAAGAGTGTGCTGTCCTCTTTGTGGTTTGTGTTAATGATGTTCTGGAGAGCCTCGGTCAGTCTGTTCTGTATCCTCTCCACCTGCTCCAGGTTACGGAGGCCAGGACGGTCTGAACAGAGCAAACATAAAGGTGAATATGTTCAAGACAAGCATATCTTCAATCAAAAAAAGCATTTTGTTATTTTTTTTAAATTTTCGAACGTAACAGTTGATTGAGAAATATATTTGTTTGACCTTTAGGAAATAATACACCAGTTTCTCAGGCAATGGTATTTAAATGTTCTTTTTGATAAATGTATTACTGCAGTATGATAAGTTGTTTACTTCAGAGGAAACATCTGAAAAGATATGAATAATATATACAAACATAATCATCTTACCTGGTGACAACAATACAATAGCAGAGAAGACAGCCAGTTCATCATCACTTAAGTTCAATCGATTGAATCTCTCAGCAAAGTCAAACATAGAATCCAACAGAAAGCCAGCATTTGACGTCATCTGAAACAGTGAGTGAGTGAGTGAGTGAGTGAGTCAGTGAGTGAGTGAGTGAGTGAGTGAGTGAGTGAGTGAGTGAGTGGTCTAATGTTTAATGCCACATTCAGCAATATTCCAGCTATATGGCGGCAGTCTGTAAATAATCAAGTCTGGACCAGACAATCAAGTGATCAACAACATGTTTCATCGATCTACGTAATTGGGATACGATGACATGTCAACCCAGTCAGCGAGCATGGGCATTATTTACTGTACTAATGTCATTATCAATCCAAAAACAACAAATCTTGAAAACAAACACAAAATTGAGATATTCGTCCCTGCAATGTTTTTCTTTATTATCACTATGATTGTCATGTCAGCTCACCGAAGCTAGATGTCTCTTGAAGAGTCGGCCTCCTGTGAACATCATGGTGTTTGTGTCTGGGTCAAACAGACAGGCAAGTCTCACAAGCAGCACCTCAAACGTCCCAGCCTGGATCATGCAAACAGGTGTATTTGTCAATATACGTCATCACACAGAATTACTTTTGGGTCAACAGACATCATCTGTCATAGTCTATCATGAATCAGTTTATTGGATTGCTTCAATTTTGCTGAGTTAAATTTCTGGAAAAGTATTTACATGCATAACATTTACATCCAACCATATTGGTTTGTTGTTTAACGCTGCACTCAGCAATATTCGAGCTATAAGATGGCGGTCTGTAAATAATCAAGTCTGGACCAGACAATCCAGTGATCAACAGCACAAGCATTGATCTATGCAGTTGAATATGATGAAATGAGTCACCCAAGTCAGCGAGTCTGACCACCTGATCCTGTTAGTCGCCTCTTATGACAAGGATGGGTTGCTAAAATCCAATTCTAACCCAAATCTTCATGGGTTGGACCAACATTGTGACCATCCGATCCTCATGTTTTACTCTTATAGTATGGGATGTGGGGATGTATTGAGATTCAAAATCTGATTTGTTTCCCTTGTCTGAGCTCATCTGTCAAGCGGGATCGTAACTCACCTTGAGCAGTGTGACCTGATCATCCTGGTTCAACAGAGTGAATCCTGGGATACCCTTGGCAAAGTCCACAACTGACTTAATGGCGGGTGTGAAGCTCTCAGAGAAATCTTCCCAGTCAGCGTTGTTGGCGTTGTTGTCCATGCCGAGCTGGTTGTTGAGAGGGCAAGCCTGCAACACAATCACCAATGGAACATTACTAACCCAAGTCAACAACAAACAAATAAATGTCATCGTTTAGATGTTAATAGGAGCAGTGTGTGATAGTGGCGCCCAGTTGTAGTTTTGTTTGTTCGTTGTTAAACTGCACTAAGCAATAGTCCAGCTGTATGGCAGCAGTCTTTTAATTATCGAGTCTGGACCAGACAATCCAATGATGAACAGCATGAGCATCGATCTATGCAAATGGGATACGATGACATGTGTCAACCAAGTCATGTGACCACCTGATCCCTTTAGTCACTTCTTACAACAAGCATGGGTTGCCGAGGATAGCTTCAAACCCGCATCTCTGTACAGTTGTAGTAAGTGCCTTGGCATGTCCAGTCATCCAGTCTAGTAATATTCACAGCTAATTTTGCTTTAATGCCAATATAATCTGTTTGGCTTCATAATGGAGACTCTGGCACTGATGTCTTATGTTTAATTAACAATGATGTGAAATCAGGGTTATCAGCTATTACTGATTGAGCTAGATCAAAACACCTGAATTCTCAGTCCTTAATAATGTTAACTAAATGCCCTGTTCTCATGATCTAAGGTCTCCATGTGTTTTGAACCTCTTCAAGCAGACAAAGGCTGGGAAAAGGATGTGGGAGTGTGCCCTACTTATTTTGAGAGTCAAAGTCTATTTAGAGAAAAATTACTTTTTTGTATAGAGGGATGCGTGGTACTTGAGTAATATATCAATCAGAATGGGAGATACAACCAATTATTTCCCCTCCCACTCACCATGTGTGCTGGACAGTTGAGATACTCATTAGTTTGAAGGGCGTTCTCCCTCATCTTCTGAACATGAAGTGAAGTAAATTCACACGTGAGGTGATGGCTGTTGACGACAGCCTGTATAACATCGGTCTCATTCTGGAGGATGGTAGATAGAGCTATGGTCTGGGACTGGGAGTTCACTTTCTGCATCTGCTCAATAATACGAGCTTTCTCCTTCTTTGGGACACGTCCAAACCTCACGGCTGAAAATCAGAACATGTCCTACATCAAAACATCATCAAACAAACTGTGTCACAAAGAATTTGTGTCCAGCCAAGGTGTAAAATTTAGCTATTTTCAACACAGAGTACTACAGTTACTATGCAATTAATTGAAGACTGAACATATAGCCTTCCAGTACAGGGTCTCATGAGTATTCTGCACATCATCATCATCATCATCATCATCATCATCATCATCATCATCATGTGAGAGGACAGATGAGATAGTTGCGTGGTTAAAGCTTGCTATACCATAGATAAGGGTTCAAGTCTCCACATGGGTACAGCGTGTGAAGCCCTTTCCTGGCGTCCCCTATCATGATATTCCTTAAAGCAATAACACAACACTTGCTCATCTGAACACTTTTGTAATCCGTTGAAGAGTGAGTGAGTTTAGTTTTACGCCGCTTTTAGCAATGTTCCAGCAATATCACGGCAGGGGACACCAGAAATGGGCTTCACACATTGTACCCATGTGGAGAATCGAACCCGGGTCTTCGGCATGACGAGCAAACGCTTTAACCACTAGGCTACCCCCCGCCCCAATCTGTTGAAGAAGTGTATTCAGTGTAAAGGCCACTGGTCCATGTACAATACATAACAAACAATGAATGCATAAAGTGTGGTGGTAGTTGGATATTTGATGAAGGGTATACCACACCATGCTCATACCACAGTGGAGCACAGTGGCGTAGTGGTTAGTATGCTGGCCTCTTACGCCAAAAGGTCTGGGTTCGAATCCTACGGAGACACCAAAATTTGTAACCTGGGTCTCATACTGTGTTGTGTCCCTGGGCAATGCACTTCGTCCACATTGCACTCAGTCCACCCAGCTGTTCAAAATGGGTACCTGGGAAACGGATTTACGGACCTCTACAGTTGCGTGAAGCGCTTAGTAGCAGCTTTGAAAGCACAATTCCGTCAGGGTAATAATGTAAAGCCAGAGAACAGCGTCGTGTTGGATTCTAGGCGCAAATATTAGCATTATTATTATTACCATCATAATAATGAGGACCATACTGATAAATCTTCTTGGACATATTTTGACACTTAATAAAGGTCATCTTTGTAGTCCGTTCACTTATATCACGACGTGTATCATAGTTATCACATGTAATCCTGATAATATAAGATATTGAATATCACACCAGCAGTATCTGGGCCATATTGCGACTGATACAAAAATAACATCAAATTTATGAAACAGTCTTACATTATTCCTCCAGGTAAAGCAGACGAGAGTTAAGAGATTCTTTGACCGTTATATTGTACAAAAATAAATTATTCATATAGTGAAAGATGTTTGATTTATGGCAGTTTTACTATCGTCACACTAAGAGTATTGAGTGCATCCTTTCTGACAATCCTGCCTCTGTATCAAGCATAATGGGAAATTAATTCAATTCGTTTTATGGTATGTTTTCTAAAATAATTAAAACTCAGTTCCCGAAATATATGAGCTTATGTTATTAATTTTAAAAAGTACTCAGATGCTGATTTACATCTAATTCATATATATATATATATATATATATATATATACACATATCACACACACACACACACACACACATAACAATATAGTTGTTTTAACTTAATCATGAAGACGTTATAAACATTTAAAAGTTGATCCTGATTATCTGCATTGTATTAAGTTGTTGGACCTTAAAGGTTTTATTTATGAGTTCGACCCACTTTCTTTGTGCACTGACTCTACAACTCAGCATGCTTAGCGAGCTGTATCTATCCAAGCCAGAGGGCAAAGTGACACTAAATCCTTGTTACACTGAGTGGAAACCAGGCTGAGTGAGCGTGGTTCCCTACATTGTGAATAATCCATGACATACATTATTTATACATGTTTTTGTTCCGTACACTCTGTACACATGAAGTCATCAATGATATACGTTCCACCTCTGCTCATAAACAAGTGCTGGGCTCCCCACCCCCAGAAAAACAGAGTTAGTGAAACAGCAGGGTGGGAAAATGCCTGAGTGGGGTTACTGGGGATTAGGGGAAAACTACTTATAAACGCAAAACAAGACGGAGGAATTCATGGCGGGATGTAGGTCAAGGTGAGCTTCTTACTCATAACCTCATAACATTTCAAATAAAGCTACACCTTTTGAACTCTCACTCTGTATGAAATATTGATCAGCTAATTCAGCTCACTGAAACGTACAATAGTTTTCTGATTACATGACTATCATTCTGTCGCAAATTTACATTAAAGGATAAATAATCCTAAAAATATTTTTAACTGTTGCTTTCAATTAAAATCAAGGCATGTAAACATATTTTATAAGATAAATCAATTTTTATAAGATCCTACTTTGGTCATGAGCCATAAATCCCATACTAAGTGCAGATCTTGAGCAGAAAAGGTGTTTGGTTCTCCATGCTTATACATACATACTAATATTGGTATAGCACCAACATCCAGATCAGCTGCTCAAAGTGCTTTGTTTTCCCTCGATCATTGGATGTCAATCATATTTTCAATCTCAACTCCCTGGGGATCATAGAACTCTAACAGGCATTTAGGCGCACCAAGCTAATGTGGCTTATCTTGATAGCTGATGGAATAAGGAGCTGGTATTTTGGGGCACCTGTTTGATTGGTGTGTGACCTGTTTGATTGGTGTATGACCTGTTTGATGAACCTCTTTTGATTGGTGTGTGACCTGTTTGATTGGTGTGTGACCTGTTTGATTGGTGTGTGACCTGTTTAATCAGAGTGTGACCTGGTTGATTGGTCTGTGACCTGTTTGATGGGTGTTTGACCGGTTTAATCAGAGTGTGACCTGTGATCAGATGTGACCTGTTTGATCAATGTGTGACCTGATTGATGAGTCTGAGACCTGTTTGATGAATGTGTGACCTGTTTGATGGGTGTGTGACCTGCTTGATCAACATGTGACCTATTTGATACGTGTGTGACCTATCAATTTGCATGTGACCTGTTTGATGAACGTGTGACCTGCCTGATGAGTCTGACCTGTTTGATCAGTGTGTCACCTGTTTGCTCAGAGTGTGGCCTATTGATTAGCATGTGAACTGTTTGACGGGTGCATGACCTGCTCAGCAGCATGTGACTGCTCTGGTCAGAATGACCTTTTTGCTGAGAGTGTTTGATCAAGAATCATCCTGCCCTGACAGCAGGAACCAGTGCCTATTCAGCATACCATTAGTTTGTACAGCTAGACCAATCTACAGGCCTTACAGGTATAGTTTGAGAGAGGGACATTTACACCATTTTGGGAATATTCCAGCAACGTCATGTGACAAGAGAAATGTGCTACAATTGAGGGGGTGAATGATTGGGTACTACATTTAACAACTTTCGAGTAATATCTAGGAAGGGGAGATCAGAAATGAGCTTCCTAATGGAAACTGAACCTGATTCTGACTTACCTAGATTTACTGTATAGATAAGCAGAATTTTAAGGACCCCAAAAAGTAGTCTGTAGAAAGAAGTCAGCTTATCTAAGGGTTAAACTTATTTTTCTGGTGGTAAGAATCTCTAATCTAGTTGTTCGTTAATTTCAATAGACTTGGTTGTCTGAGCTAAAAATATTTCAGAGACAAACATGTGTAGCACAGTACCACAATCCGGATATATATACATTGTTACAGATTGTTGAACTTAAGTCACTGACTTCCCTGAACAGATTAAACATCCAAATGAAAAGTGAAAGCAGGTAGCGTAGGTGATAACATCCAGGAAGTGATGTGGACAATATCAGATGATTATCCTTTCCTCAGAAACATCAACTGAACAGTAACTATGATATAATAATCATGATTTTGTATAGCGGTGGTCTGATTAATTGAAATAATTGAAGATTGGTTGCAATGACAAAACGACCAAGCAATCGATCATGTTTTCTCATAATCAAACACAAACAATTTTGGACCACTTGTTTGCAATAACAATATTTTTCAAAAGGTTGATTTTGTCTCTACATTGCATAAGCACTACCTACAAGCTCATTCCAAGTCATGATTAAATTTATCTTATTAACTCCAGGAAATGTATGTTCCTAACACACTACTCATCCTTTAAAGATGTGAAATTGGCAAATGCATTTTGTGCAATTTGCAAAAAACCCGAGAGAACTACATGTTTTTTCTTTATTTTTTGTGCATTAACAAACATAACCAGGAAAAGTTGATAAATGACGCTAACCAATTATTTTCGATGATTTATCGGTTGTAATGAACCAATCATCAATTATGAGATTTACACCAATACCCAACGCTAATGTTTTATATGATGCATAAAATAACTGAGTTTAGGTCCTGATCAATCAAAGAGAATCAAAACCCTTCTTCCTTACAATGAAAACATGTCCCATATTGGGCAATTGGGTAGCCTTGTGGTGTAAGTGTTTGCTTGTCTCAAGAAAGGTCCAGGTTTGAATGTGGGTACAATGTGTGAGTCATCTGGTGACCCTGCTGTAATCTGGGGGAATATTGCTGACAAGTCATAAGACCACACTCACTCTCATCTTCTATGTCATAGCTACAATAGAGTGAGTGAGTCAATATTGTTTCATGCCACATGAGCAATATTGCAGCTATTCGATATTGCACTGAGACCATGATGATGATGATGATGATGATGATGATAATGATGTCATGAATAAAATATGAAATAACTACTCACCATCTCTGGACATTCCAACTGAAATACATTTCTTCAACCTGGAAAATGACAAAAATGATATTACAGAATAGGAATCTATGCTTGACCTTCTGAATATTTCCATCATAAAAAACACAAAATCATAATCAGTTGGATAATGAGAGTTTTCGGGCAGATTTTTTAACACAGATACTCTGTTTATGTAGAACTGCCCTGGTATATGACAACATAGATGGACATTTATTTAAAAAAATATGCATGTTAAAACACATCTTTATCTACAAAACAAGTCCAAAGGGAGCCCAGAACAGACGTGAGGCAATCTAGACTTGCCACATCATTCAAGACTTGAGTAGGACTCCTGTTTAATATATTCTCTAGGGTCTTGGAGACAGACCAATAACAGCAGTGCATAGACATCCTGGGACAAATAGTCAACATCCTCACCTACAGTATTGACACCGGTTCCGATTAACTCGCATGATATTGCACTGCTGGTTCTTAAGACAGGGTCTGTATTGGATCTTCTGTTGTATACTACGTCGGAAGAAGCCCTGAAACAAGGCAACACTGCTGTAAATATGTTGATTATCTAGAAACGGTTGTAGGTGGGGTGAATGGGATATAAACACTGCATGCAGGATTACCGCACAGATATTGCGATTACTAAGCTTGTGTGTGTGTATGTAGATGTACATGGTGTGGGAGTGTGTGGCTTTCCCTGTATGTATGTGGCTTTGTGTGGGTGGGATGGGGGGGGGTGGAGGGGCTCTGTGTGTGTGTGGGGAATGGAGGGCTGTGTGTGTGTGTGTGTGTGTTTGGGGGGAATGGAGGGGCTCTGTGTGGCTGTGGCTGCTTGTACTACATCACACCACACAGACACAGTATACTGTCTCTGAGGAGTCTAGTTAGTGTTTAATGCCCTTGGTGCTGAGAATCAGACAAAGTAACAGGTACCATGTTTTACGACCTTTTCACCTGATGCAGCCATGAATCTCGCACCAACCCGTAGAAGCTTTGTCACTGGAAATCACTGTACTTAGATACTGTGGTCTAAATGTGATATCAACTGTGTATGTATTATTTATATGCGATATTGTTGTATAAACTGTGAAATACTATATTAAATATACACATATTGTGAAACATGTGACACTTAGTTAGATACTGTTGTATACCACTACTCAAGGACATAAGTGCTACATATTACTGGAGGTAAAACCTGTTGTATTGTTGTAAGAAATTATTACATAAATGGGATTTTGTTCTAAAATACTGATACATTTAATAAAACTTTAACACACTGTCATAATTGTAAGAAAGCATTACAATTGTTATCACTGTTCACTGTTATCATTCTTGCAACTTTGTATTACTAAGTTCAATAATTAATATGATACAACTTACAAGACTTTGATAAAAAGTTTTGAATATAAATCATGCTGTCAAAATGACTTATACACTACAATCTTAAACCTACCTAAAGAGGCTGTAATACTATCTTTATACTACTTTCTTTATACACTGTGTTTCTGTGAATTTATGTACAATAATTAGTGTAGCCACTACACATGAAAACTGAATGTGTATTAGTAAATCTTTGTATCATGTGTCATATTTTAGCTCACCTTACAGCCTTCACATGCATGTACGCCATAGTGAAAGCCGCTAGCTTTGTCCCCACACACTCGACAAAGTACTGTTTCCCCATCAAACTCTGAAACATAATAAAATCCATACTACAACACTGTTGATATTACACATGGTTACAACAACATCTATATATTAATGTATCAGTGCAGATATATCACACATGTCCTTATTATGTTATCACGCTTCCATATTACATGTTATCACACATGTCCATATTATATGTTATCACACATGTCCATATTATATGTTATCACACATGTCCATATTATATGTTATCACACATGTCCATATTATATGTTATCACACATGTCCATATTATATGTTATCACACATGTCCATATTATATGTTATCACACATGTCCATATTATATGTTACCACACATGTCCATATTATATGTTATCACACATGTCCACATTATATGTTATCACACATGTCCAAATTATATGTTATCACACATGTCCATATTATATGTTATCACACATGTCCACATTATATGTTATCACACATGTCCATATACATTATCACATAGCATCCATATAATAAGTTATCACTCATATCCAAAGTATACATTATCCCACAGTTTTCACAATTATATATTAATTACAACAGCGTCCATATCATAGGTGTACGGTATCATCGATGACCAAATTATATGTATCAGAACAGCATCTGTAAGTCAGTATAAAAATTCACTCAGTATTTTGATTCCATTAAAATTCCGACAGCTAATTATCTTTCCGGATCACAAAATCTCTTCACATCTTAACATGAATAATGGTATTATGCAATATTCCACTTTCAATCATAAGGAGGCCCTTTCAAAGATGCATATAAGAAATCAAACCTTGTAGGCCTGTGGACATGCTTATTGTTGGTTGGTGAGAACAGAAAATTTAAATCATATAAATATTACATATGATGCCAAGATGTGTGGTTAGTCTTATACGGAACACCAAATTCATTCTTAAAAAACTTGTGGTTAATTAATACCGAGCAATTAAAAGTTGCCAAAAAGTCGCCTGCTAATTACCACTAATTATACCTGTTATAAATTCATTAACTGACCATCAAGTGAATGATGACAAAGAACATGTGTAGGTTTATACCACCTAACACGGGTTACAACGAGGGAGTATTAATTGCTGTATTGCATGCAATTTTAATTGCATGTGATAACTTATGGTCCGACACTGTTTTGAGAATATGAACAGAACTTCATTCTTAAATAAGAAGTACATATAATCATTTGCTGTGTGCTAAAACTGTATGTACCTATTTACCTAAGTAAATTTTCAGATTCTTCTAGCAATGGCAAAGTAGGGTTGTTTAGTTTATGGATTCAAATAAATCAAATGTCAATTTTTAATATCATACGTAATAGACGTCATATTTTACACGACATGATTAAATATTGAGGTTAAAAAAACACAGAAATGGTATCAATTTAGATCAGTCATTATACCATCCAGGCATTAGAAAACCTGAAAAAGCCCACACTGCTTTGATACTTTATTACAATCAGACAAGAACTACCGGGGATATTTTCAAATAACTGCATCTGATGGGCATCCACCCTTCTTAATATCGCACTGTTTAGGTTGAAGAAATTAACCATAACCGTGATGAGTGAGGCTGATCATTGTTTTCGCTATCACAAGCGTCTGGCTCGAACAAATAAGGCCTAGCGACACCAAGCGATTTTGACAGAATCGTCTATGAAAACAAGTTGTAACTCGGAAACTAGGCAAAGCAGGAGACAAAATTAATGACAGTAGATTGTGAGAACATATAGCTTTCATTTTTCACAGCAGTTGTCACGATTTCAGGTTTATACAAACCTGTAAACAAGATAATTTACCCCCTGAAATGTACATGAATTCTGCATCGGCCCTCATATCTATTCCTCATATGACGTCACAGAGACGCGCTGCTCTGATTGGTTGAAATTTCGTTCGCGGGTGAGAATTGTGCACTGTTGTCAAAAAGGTTGATTTAAGTTAATTAAAGATCGAAAAGATTAGTTTTAATGACGGGTTTCATTTATAACGATGCCAATTAGAGATTTATGTATTTGTACCCCTAGAGTATATGTGATCTTTAAGTAATGTAGGGTGATTATAGACCTTCCATGTGTTACACTAAATGTCAATAAAAATGTCAGGGTTGGCACTAAATTATCAGGAACTTTCTACCGGGTCAATACACAGTATAGCCACCGAGGACTGTTACATGATTTATAGTCTCCATTCTGTATATATCAGTATACATCACAGAAAAGACACACTCTCTGCCTTGTCATTTCACCTTGTACTTATTTTAATTCATGCAAGACAGAAATGCATTGTATCAATCCCATATTTGTTTCCTTTCATATATGTCCTGTCAAGCCAATCCTGTACAACGACAAATATATACCTGAATATAATCAGTCCAAAAAGAACCCAAGTCGGCAAATATAGGCAAACTTAACCACCTATTTTCCACACGCACAGCTATTATGAGACAGATAGGTGTATTGTGTAATTAACAGGTCTCATGTCTCTGGTCACCAGTACAGGTGTATATGATATTATAAAAATTGTTTACCTTCGTCTAGGCAAAATAAACCACCTATTTTCCACACATACAACTACACTGTATTACGAGACAGAGAGGTGCATTGTATAATTAACAGGTCACATGTCTCGGTACACCTGTACAGGTGAATAAATTAATTTACAAATCTTTACCTTTGTCTTATTTGTGAAATATTTCTGATATCTATCCAATACCAACTACCTCAAATTAAATCGTTTTCTTCATAAACAAAACCTTTTGACCTGAAATGTAGACAACATCTGTTCACAAATCAATACCACTAACTACACAAGTCTCTTAAGCTTGACCGTTGACTGTATTCAACAGACTCAGACACTGTATTTCCACATTAGGAAAAATCAATTACCGCTGTTTCAAATCTGTTTGGCTGTTGGTTGACCCCACGGTGACTGCTTGCTGGGTCACCCCTCCCCCCATGTTTCATCCAACTCACAGCCTGCCTTACCTATCTCCTGACCAATTGACCGCTCTCTGAACTCGTTGCCATGAGACACAAATACCCCTGTATGAGTAATTCTCATTGGGGCATCAAGGTAAATGAGGTAGACTTGCACAGGGCCCTTAGAAGGCCAGAAACTATATTGCAGCATATTTATGCACAATCTTTAATACATATCACCATCTTTACAACTTTAAACGAATTCTGTATATATGTTATTTCCATGTCATTATACCACATGATTTCTAAAAAATTGTTATAATGTACATCATTTATGTGTGAAATGTATCTATATTTCTTGTACCTGCTGTGTTTATATTTGTACATTTGTAGTTTATAGAATATTGCCACTGTTTCTTCATGGAATGCTATGCAATAAATATCTTATCTTATCAAAGCTATTTAGAATGGTTTAGTGCAAGGAATCAGTACACAAATGATACTTGCATCTTATACTTCTTAAAACAAGCTAAAGACACGTTACTTCTTTGCATTACTACAATAGTCTTCAATTTCAACCACCGTCTGAAACTTGTGTCTAATAAAATGTCGTATGGTCTAGTGAGATCAGCCTGTGTTATTCCAGAAACTAAGACTAAATTCTATTGAATACAATGCCAAAAAATAAAAGTATTCGGCACAAACAGCTACAGTAAATTTGCCATGCCAGATAAACTACAGCAATAATACAATAATGGGTGTTCCTAAACTTTTTAGAGTAGTAGGTTATAAAGATTTTGCATGTGGGGATTCATGAAATTGATAATATCTCTACACAAAATGTTTTTGCTCCTTTATTTCTAACAAACACTAAACAGTTTTGTATAAACAAATTTATTCAAGTTGAACCCCAAAACTAATTGTCTAAAATAAAATACATAATATTATATATTTATTTTCATAAAAATGGGAAGGTAACATATGTGATTTCTGTAAAAGTACACCAGATTGATATGTATCGTCATAGTAACTAATAGCACTACTGAAACAGAACCAAGTCTACAGCAATCCCCGATCAGGTTGACCATCGGCCAGAGTTCACTGCTGACACACACAAGTCATGTGACCAGCGGTCAACATGTGGCCATCGCATAATTAACAAATATTGATCACAAATGCACCATGTTTGTCAGTGTTGATAGCCATGGGAATCTACCCCGGCTGCCTTAGTGGACTGGGACTACCTCTTGAACTCTGTATAGCAGTCCCTCCTCTTGTCAATAACCTACAATAGGCTTGACTGGGTGATGACTTCATGGCCCCACCCCGAGATTGCCACCAGAGAAACATGATTCACGTGGCAACATTTTCAGTATTGATTTGATCTTTAACACCATGTTAATCCATGATCGGCCATAATCAGGTTTCTTTCTTCATAATTTATCAAAGTGTATCAAACTGAAAAATACATGACTACTGAACTAAGCTGAACTCTCTAAGAAAATATTATCATTGATTACAAAACATTGTCACAAATGTTAAAAAATTATAACAAAACAATTCTTAATTTTTTTCGCAATATTCACCTTAAAAACAACAATTGAGAACCCAGAATAATTTTTTCTCATAACACTTTGATAAGCAAGACTAATATTTTCCCAGTTATCACATTTAATTTTTACCTTAATCACTGCTAACAAATCAGCATTACTGCTACTACTCTCCCTACAACTACTTTCAAACAAATGCTACTACTCTACTACTACTTCACACACCATCTGCCTTACCTTCCACTTTATATCTACTTATACTGCAATTATGACAACCATCATATTGTTGCTATCTCTTTCTGCATGGAACCAAATCAATAATATGGGGAGCATGGTGAGAGTTATTACATAACAATCGAACATGGTCACTCCTGTCAATACACAATATTGACCACTTCCTCTGTTGAAAGTATTGACCCTGTATGTCAAATCAGCTGTGTCCCCATTGTTCTCAAACAGAGCTTGGAAGCAAACAGGAAACAAAAGATGTTGTTGAGGAGCCAATGAAATTCATCTTATAATTCCTAATAGATTTT